TCTGAAGAGTCCTAAGATTTTTTAAGCAGTCCTAGAAATCTTTAAACATATTTCAGCTAAATAGCTCATCCAGTCCTCAGCTGTAGTTCTAACCTTTATTTTTGCTGCTCTGTGAGATTCATGTGAAAAGCCACCATAGCCTGAGGTTTGGAAGTTGGGAGATTATGCTTTGGCCCTCTGACATGTATTTTTGTCAGTTTTCTAATCTCTGTATGAAGTCTTCTGGCTTTTAAGAGAGACCAACTGATGTTCCCTGAAGCATGTATATTCTTTCAGCAGCATGAAAGAAGTTAGCCATTGTCATTTACAATCTAAAAGTTTTAATCTCTCTTTATTTTCAAATTAATTAGTCTTATTAGCTTAATTACATGAACCAGGTTCAAAGTACACAAACTAATGTCATCTGCCTTCTACAACTATCTATAGAGCAAAGACCATATAGATCATGTCTGCATGCAATGCAGACTTTCAGCAGAACCAGACACCTAAAATGGCTTAAGAGATAAAATCCCTTAAATAAGCTTGAGACAGACCTGAATTTATTTAAATGTCTAATTCTAAATGTACTTATGCTTAGTAGTAATGTTTACCATCTGTCTTACTCTGGCTGTTGAGGTAATTGTAAAGCTATAAATAGCCAAACATATGCTACACATATTTGGGCCTTAAATACAACAGCCTTGTGTAAAACAACTGGAAATAATAATAATAAGTGATATAAATCTGGGCATTATTCACAGTGAGTCGAGAAAAGATCATTAAAGGTTTTAGCTGTTGTGTTGCCTGTGATAAATATTCCTCCCTAGGCATGGCTGAGATGATGGCATTGCTTACAGGCCCAATTCTACAAGTTGCTAGTCCTGTCTGTGACTCCGACCCACAGAAAACAACATTTCAGTTGTATACAGCAGACACCTTCAGAGAATAATACAGATTGAGACCAAATTGCAAACTGAACAAATAAATATATTTTAGTCTGTAAATGACTAATGCTGACATTTCAGTCGATACTCCCTCTTCTTTTAAAGACTAGAGCGCTGGAGAATGATATACAGCTGCAGAAATGCCTAAAGCCTAACTTGAAAGGACTGCTTTTATTTGAATTAGATGATTCTTGTATTTCTTATACCTATAGTCACACTAACAGCAGTCATAAAACTATTGCATTGATACAACTAAAAATACTATTGATACCAGTTATCTATGGGAACATCATCCCACTAATCATAATTGCCCATATGTGTCCTCCTGGAATAAAAATGTCGGGAGAGGAACAAAACACTCCAACTATTTAAGTGTGCCTCAGGGGTCATGCTCTTCCCTCACCTCCTCCCCAACCACACACACTGTGAAGAACCATCAGAAATGTAGAGCTACTGAGAGATGTGACCATGGAGACCACATGGTTAAGGATAGGTATGTGATCATTTCCTCCCACTGGCAATGGCTCTTGGGAAGGAAATCCCAGTGATGATCTCATCTGACACTGTCATTCCTCTGTACGTGTGTGTGTATGAGAAAGAGAGAGAGAGAGAGAGAGATTGCTCTTATGTGGGGTCACCCCTAAACTCGGTGAATTCCCAGGTGTTGGCATGGAGATCATATATCTCTACACTAGCTTTGCCCCCCCCACCCCATGGACCAGCCTGCCTGGAGCTGCTCTACTGGAGACATCTCTGGACATGGTGACACGTAGGGACTGGTATGGGTGGGGAGAGGAGAACTAAGTGAAGAAAAATACAGTCCCAAATTAGACAGGGAATGGTGTGGGTCCTATGTAGCCCTGGCCCTGGCATGGCCAGTCTTTGCCCCGTCCCTACCAGAGATACTGGAGCTAGTAAAAGAGGATGGTGTTGAGGTGGTGCCTGACTCCTCAGCCATGCTGGAAGAGAGGGAGAAACGCTCTGTTAAGATCTGTGAGGCTAGGCGGGAATGAACTGGGCTTAAGGTTTCTTACTGAATCCTGGCTGGTTTCTTGCTGAATCCTGGCTAGATTCATGGAAGGTCCCTGGTGCTTTTGGCTGCAGGCACTGCACTCTGTGTCACAAATGCAGAGGAATAGTGACTGATGTTTCAAGCACCATTAACTAATCCCCGCCATTTGTGTAGGCTTTAGTTCATGTAAGACACATTAAACAGATTGACTCTTCTTCAGCTTCTTTCCAACCTCGCCACTTCTGCTCTTTTTCCAAGCAGCCAATTAGCTGCACACTTATGTTATGAAAGGAAAAGTAGAGGATGTATAAGTGACATCTCATGTTGCTGTCATTCCCCTGTGTATGGGTTCCTTCCACCCATCCAATGGTTTTGCTCCCCTCTGCACCAGAGTGATGATGGTTCCTCTTTGGCTAAATCCAGAGAGTTGCTATGGGCATCTGTTTCTGCAGCTGCAGAGCTTGTACCTGAGGAGAACCCTATAAGATTCAAGCCTCTCCCACCATATTAGTCAACATAAATATTAAAAAGCTGTTGGGAGAACTGGTAAAACAACATGAGTTAAACAGTTCTTAAAGTGATCTGAACCAGGGTGTGTGGGCTCCCTCCCTTGGCTGTGTGAGCGGCATCAGCTCCTGAGGGAGGTCAGAGAGCTCTGACTGCTTCCTGCAGCATCTCTGCTTGGCTGCTTACATCCCAGGAGGTGGGGAAGTAGGGTGGGCAGCCAATCTAAGAGCAGCCAGGCAGGACTGTAATGTGTGACCCTCAGCCACCTGGCTGGAGATGTAGACATTTTATTTGCCAGATCTGGGAGCCCTTGTTCCATGTGCACTTTATGCACTGGGGCTGAACTGCCAGCTGTGTGCAGTCTGCTCCCAGCTCAGTGTCTCCTTCACAACAGATGGGTTGCTAAACTTCAGCCCTAGGTAAGAATGAGGAGATGCTGGTAGGCAGAGGGAAGTGCTTGAGAGAACTCCCCTCCCCTAAGTATCCCTGTTCATAGGCTGTCACATCCCTCCTCTGCCTTGGGGTCCTTTAGACTCAGTGCTAGTAGACTCTCATATAAACATGGGGGCAAAAGGCACCCAGTTCCATTTGTGACTGGCCAGAAGACTGTGCTCCAACCTATCAGACAGCCTTGGCCAGTGACCCAGGTCTTCATGAGCACCATGCTTGATTGTTGTAACCCACTAGTATAAAAGGCAGCAGCCTATCTGCTTAGCAACACACGTGGGATCATCACTCCAGTGCCCTGAGCCCTCACTGAATGCAGACTCCAGTTCAAGCTCTGTGCACTGATAGTCAATGGGAGGCTGAAGAAGATACAGCTGCCAATGCCCTAGTATGCCCTGCTACTTGAGATATTACACAGACAGAATGGAGGCTAGCAATGGGAACACCAGCCACCACTGGGGCTGCAGGAGTCCTGTTTCCATGTAGACTTAGAAAAAGGAAAATGGAGGTGAGGTGGGAGCGGTGGGGATGAGTAAGAGAAAATTGCAGAAGGGTTGAAAAAAGCAATGCTGGGGAGGAGGCGAAGAGGAACAGCAAGGAGAACAAAAGCACATTGACAATGGGAGGTGAACTGGGGGGCTATAACTGGAAGGAGATGATGCTTTTTACCTGTGTTGTTAGACTTATTTTCAAATGTTTAAATAGGAAGTGTTATAAAAATACTTACATTAATTATCCTATTTGCTATTGCACTACAAGGGTAATATACCAGGCCAAAATGTGACACACCCTTCCAGGAAGGGCTAGCAAGAACTTCCTCCCTTGAACATTATACATTCTGCATAAGGGTCACTGAGAGCAGAGTATGGTCCTCATTTATTTATCAAGTAATGATATGGCAATTTCCGAGTGGGAAAATAAAGACAGAATATGCTCATATCAAAGCAAACTGTGCACTTCCTGCCTCTCAAGCTGAAGTTATAACATGTGGTAGAAAGGAGATGAAGTGCAAGCCAATAAACAGCCAACACATATGGAAAACAAAATGCAAACCCGTCCAAATTAATTTGTATTATCTACATTCTCTTCCCTATGGTTTAACTCTATCCTCAAAAGAACGAAAATATTTGTTTTTAAATATTGTTAAAGGTTTAAATATTGTTTAAATCTTGTCAAGGTATTGCATTTCTGGGTGAGATGTTTATTAAAGACGTGATTAAAACCTTTTCTGACCTCTAGTCTGACACGAATCTGTTGAGATTTGGAAGTACCTTCCACTAAGAAGTTGACTGAAATTGAAAGGATGCCCTCCTCCCTCCACTCACACATTCAGTTTAAGACACTTTAATTTTTTTAATAAAATCAAAATATGCAGGGCCAAATTCAGATGTAGTTTAAGTGGATTCAATATCCATGTAAGTCTCTGGGCCTTTTTCAGCAGTGGCATAATCCATGGTCTAATGTTAAATTTCAGGGACTAAATGCTGCCTCTTACACTGATATAAATGCAGAGCAGTTCCAGTGAAATCAATGTGGTTATTTTGGATTTGCAGTGGAGTAAAGGGGAACCAAATTTAGCCCTAGGTGTAAATGATCAACTAGTGTAACCAGAACCGATCTGGCTTTCTATGTAAAATGGGTAGAATTGACACATGAAGGGCCAGATCCTGGACTGCTGAAGAGTGTTTGGTGCAGCTAAAGAAGGGAGGAGGAGAGGGCGCAAAGATTACTCTGGCCATTCTGATGCCAGACATGTGGAATATAATATTGCTTTATCATACTGTATCTTATTAGATCCATTGCTAAATGCATGCACAGCAAACATTTGCTAGTACCATTACTTTATCAATCCCTGGGTAATTATTAAAATAGTTGCTGTTACGATGTTGATCTAAAGTACAGTGCAAACATTTGTGAAACATTTTGGTTTGTTTCATTTGTAATGGAGCAGAAGCCAAAATGACTTTTTCTCTTTGTGCCTTAGGCTAGGTCTACACTACCCGCCTGAATCGGCGGGTAGAAATCGATCTCTCGGGGATCGAATTATCGCGTCTCGTCTGGATGTGACAATCGATCCCCGAATCGACACTCTTACTCCACCAGCGGAGGTGGGAGTAAGCGCCGTCAACGGGGAGCCGCGGAGGTCGATTTTGCCGCCGTCCTCACAGCGGGGTAAGTCGGCTCCGATAGGTCGAATTCAGCTATGCTATTCGCGTAGCTGAATTTGCGTATCTTAAATCGACCCCCCCCTGTAGTGAAGACCCGCCTTTAGTATCATTGCAGTGATGTGTGCTGGAATAGCCTGAGGAATAGAATGTTAAAATAACCGCTGTGATAGACAATGACTTAGTATCAAACCAATGGAGTGGAGACTGTATTACTTTTTCTCCCCCTCTTTTAAAAATTCTGCCATGTGATGGTTATTTAAGTATATGCACATTTCTGGTGAAAATATTAATCATGCTCCACATATTCCACATTCCCATTCCTTCTACTCTCTGACTTTGTCCTGCATTCATCTTCTGGAACCACCTCCTTCAACACCTCCTCCATCTAGCTTTATTTGCTCCTTACTTAAGGTGGCAACAGAGTTTATATATAACTACTGTCCTGTATGGGAGAGGGCAAAGAGGCCATTGGAATCCATCCCCATAGGGAGGCAGCACAGACTGTGGGAAGTATGTGTGGTGATGCAGAGAATCAGAATATTGTTATATTTTTATGTAGGTATCTGAATAATACTATACCATGGATCTTTTGTTGTCAGGTTTAGCACACCATTTCCAGAACAAATATATTGGACTTAATACTAATTATGAGGCACAGAAGCTATAATAATAATGGGAATTTTACCATTGACTTCAATAGGAGTAGTGAGACTTATGTTACCCAGATTTTGCAGCAAGAAATATGTGTATACTAGTTGGAAAGCAAACAGTGGCATTAATGGAAAACTGCAGTTTATTCCCTAGTGATTCATTTCCCTCCCATCTCACTTGGGCCTTGTTTTGGCCTCCTTTGAGACTTGGCACGTTTGGGACCAAATGAAAAATGTGTCTATAAAACAAATATTGATTACTTTAACAAGCTCATTACATTTGATTAACCTTTTAAAGCACATTAGTTGGGTCTTTAACCTATATCAAATTGAATGATGTTTTAATACTTAATGAAGGACACCTGGTAAATGCTTCATGTTTATAAGGATTTATTATTCAAGTTTATGATTAAAATTAGTTCTGGAGTTCATAATTCAAACAAATCACAATGCACAACTCTCACAGCACTGGGTTTTTTGTTTTGTTTTCATGCTGTATAGAGAATAGACTTGCATTGTAAACTACAGCAGTCCAGGAGTTGGCAAAGTCTGAAATTTCCTCTTTAACAGAAGCACAAGTATCCGAGGTTGGTATACTTTACAGCACGCAAGGAGGGCTACAGGTTTACTGTGTCAGGACTGCAGTAAGAATTATTTACAGCATTTCCTATCCCCATAACAATCATAGTTGGAAAAACAGATTAAAGTTATGCCATTTCCTGTTTGGTACATTCTTTATAATGAGCAGGTGGAATCAAACTTTTAATCCCTGCAGTAGATGACCTCTTCAAAAGTCTGTACTTTTACTATCTAACAGTTTTGTCTCGTTCTTTTTAGTTCCTGAGACTGTAATCTAAGAAGATTTGGAATGGCCAGAGAATTACTGAACACTGAAAAAGGCAAAGCGCTGAAGCTAACTTTCAACCAGTGGATACATTACAATTCTGTAATCTTATTTTTTAAGAGATTAGATGAAAAAATATATGTTAGCAATCTAAACAATGTAATAATATCTATAGAGAATAAGTGTCATTGATTAAATTATAAATATAGTATCTTATTATGCTTTTGGGGACAGTAGAAATATGAATAGCACTGCAGGTATTTTTGAATTATAAGAGGAGAGAATATTGGCAAATTTTTCAACAGCGGTTTATCATGAAAAAGAAGTTACAGTAACTCTTCCCCTGTCATAGAGAGTGAAAAAACCTCACTTGTATATTAATATATTATAACAATGATGCATGAAGCTAATAAAAAAAACTTTTGAAAGAGGTCTGTTAGTCCAGCGGGAGTTATTAAGTTTGCTATTTGTGACTTTAATGCTACTTGGAATTTCTTCTAGCGCATTTAAAACTCCTTTTGTGACTCTTCATCAGCTGTTTTCCAGACAGCAAAGGCCTCAACAATATACATTTTCCTTTTCTGCATGGCTGATGGACTTCATATGCTATATCCAATTTAAGGGTAGAGTACGAGATTACATTGCTAGACTATCGAAAGCCATAGACATTGAAACTGAATCATTGCTGTTTATAGTAATTCTTGCTATTTGCTTTTTGACAGCCATTTGTGACTGGAATAAAAGATGATGCCAAGATTACTGTCAAGCTAGTGTAATAGCTAGTAGTGCATGAAGTCTGCAGTAGATGGACTTGAACTTATGAGCACTCATAGATTCTCAATAGACTCTCAAGTGAGCAGTGTCCTCCTTTGCCCAGTGTAATGTGACTGGCTTTGAAGAATTCTTATTTCAGAAGATGAAATATTATCTCAGCCAGCTTTCTTTGTTCTATTGGAAATGTTTTAGAAAGCTTAATTTGAGAGCTGGTTCTGAATGGAAAAAGCAAACTGATTTTCAGTTGCACGAGGTACACCATTACAGGTACATCCAAGCTCAGCAATAACAAAAGGAGTGACATATTCAGATTGCTTCCACAAGAGGCTCCCCAGTCTTTTTAGTTATAAGCACAATAGCCATCATCTCTTTCTTCTACTGGACTGGTGATTTTCCTCATGATCTCTGCTAATACAAACCATCTTTTAACCTGAAGAGTGTAAGCAGTAAACATAGCTATTGGGAAAACAGAATCCCGTAAGGATTCTTATGAACCCTTCTTGCACGATATTTCAGCTTTAACACAAAGCACCTACCCTGGACCCGGAGGATGCTTTTACCACTGTCAAAAAGCTGGACTGACAGTGGCTACCCCACACCACTGCTGAAATGTCTCACAATGGATTTGTCTGGCTAACAGGTCCATACAGAAGCACGTTCATGTTAGGAACATATTTTATTTTTACTTGTATAGTGCTCTGCAAATGGCTACTGTTCACCAGCTGTCAGCTAGGCCTTTCCTTTGCAGCATACTGAATGTGAATGACAGTAACCTGCTACAGTGAGTTAAGCTTCAGTGGAAGTTTAGTGGACCTGGTGTTCAATTCTTACACCAACAACTCAGTTCCTCTTGGGCAGCAGCCCCTTTTGATTTGAAATCTAAACATCTAGTGTTTCAAGAATTGGTTTAAGAATTTGCCTGGAAGCAATTTCTGTTTCCAGCAATGTTACTCTTTTCCAGCCTGATCTATCTTAGTGATCAATAGGAAAAAGCTAAAATACCATCGACCTTAAAAAAAAAAACTTTATTCAGCAAAAGAAAATATAGGGCTTGGGTTAAATGGATTGAGGTCCAGTACTTCTGTGAACATTTTCCTTTTTTGCATACCGTATTTCTTTCTCCCTACTGCAGCATTACAAGCCTGATCTTTTATTGCAGTTTGCCATTCAAGATTCCATAGTTAAGGCTGTGTCAGCACTTCTCCTATAAAACCCATTTATGAGTGGTTTAGAACTCAACTGAAAAAAAATGCTCCAGGATGAAAGGTGGCATACAAAGTCTCAGACAGAGGTTTTTTTAACCATTTAAAAAAAAAGAATTTTGTTTTCTATTTTAAGCTTTTATGAGTATAAAATCCCCAATTTGCTGGTTTAATGCACTGCCGCTTGAGTAACTCAGCAATAACAATTTAGTAATCAGCTTGTATTTAAACAAGAAAGTAAAAAGAGGTGGAATTACAGGTATATTGAGATTTCAAGTGTGATTATGGAAGATGCTCAGAAACTGCAACAAAAATCTCTGTAGGATTCTGTAGCAGGCAAGTGCAGGACCAAACCCATGTTCTTCCACAGCTTGAGTAGCTGTGCTGTCCTCTGAGAATGTGCTGAGTTCCAGGAAAAGGGATCCTACTCCTGAAGTTGTGAAGCAGCAATTAAATCGGTCTGTGGGTGTGACACAAGAGCCTGGTAAGTGCATTCCCGTGCACATGAGAACTGCTCCAACCTAGTGTCTGCAGTGGCACTATCATCTCCAGATAGTGAAGGTGGGTCCATGGGTTCTCCTGCTCCACAGCCAGCAGAGCTAGCCTCACACGGATGGAAATGCTTGCTGTCCCCTTACAAAGGGGTGTAGAAGTGGCCTTGCTTCCTCTGAACTCCTTGAGGCTTTGTGCCTGTCTCCGGTAGAATGCCTCTGGGAACTCTAGATCTAATCTATCTGAACTTCATTAAAGGATTTGACAATGTACCACATGGGCAATTATTTGTCAAACTGGAGAAGATGGGGATTAGTACAAGAATTGAAAGGTGGTTAAGGAACTGGCTAAAGGAGAGATGACAACAGGTTGTGCTGAAAAGAGAACCACTGGGCAAGACAGAGGTGCCTTTGAACATTTCATCCAAACTCTGTATATGTGTTAAAATATAATCTCCAGACTAAAGCCTTCAGTGACGAGAATTTAAGTCCAAAAGGAATTTTGTGTGTGAAAGTTATAAGAGGTAGGTAGGACACAGGTGTCCTATTCACTAAACTACAATATACTGTCACAAAACCAACAAGGCTGGTATAGAATTTAAGAATGATTTAAACAATAGCCCAACAAGTTCCAAGAGAAGAATTACAGTCAATGGAAGCAAAAATCCAGTTTTTAAAAAGGAGCCAACTACATAGCGCCATTTAGTTTTGCAGGTAAATAATACACTTTTTTAAAAAATACATACACCTCACACAGCTGATAAAGCCACTGTTGTCTAGTGTGTAAAATACCTTTGACAAATCTAATAATTTGTAACAGGCAGACCATAAAATACAGTATAGAAAACACCTGAAAAGCGCTCAGTAAATACTAATTTGATTCTAAATATTCAGATCATCAGGACACTGGAGGGTCTAACAAGTAGTTTGTTGTGTCATAAACTGTTCTGTAATAAACAAACAAAAAAGCTAAAAAACCAAACACAGAACTGCACACAAAACCTCCCCATGACCTCTGTTTCCCTTCCCCTCTTTGCCTTTTAGTAAGTAAGGTTGCTGGCAGCAGAGTTGTTGAACAACTGACAAAAGCAAGTGGAGACAGTGAGCTGTGCTTATTTAAGTCTGTATTCTTCCATGCTGCTCAATTTCAATACTGTCCCTGGCAGAACAACATCAGTATTCTCTGCCTCTCTTAACTAAGGAAGCAAATCAAGAACCAGACAGGCTAATGGGAACTGAACCTCATTTCTTGGCCTCTTGTTCAACCTATAAAGCCAAACGGAAAGCAGCCCACTTCTCCAGGCCTCCCATTCCTCTTGCCAGCTGGGAACTTAACCACCTCCTGGGCCCTCCTGTCTCACGTGCCAGCCACCGTGCAGACTGCCTTTCCAGACTTCTAACACCACTGGCCAGTTGGGAATTGGACCACCTTTCCAGGTTTCTTGTCTACTTGCCAGAGTCTGCAGAACTTCTTTTCCATTTGCCTAAGCCAGTGAAGAATGGGGCTGTAATTCTATTGTCAAAGTTAGTTAAATGGCTCAGACATCTCCATAGTAAAATATTCAGGGAAGCTCCTCTAGGAGCGGAACTAAAAACAGGAAGAAAACAAGAAAAAATGGGTGCCCCTCCCTTTCTGAATTCCCAATTTTTCTAACAATTTTTTACAGAGAAATGCAAAAAGCAACAGTAACTGACTAGAGCTGTGTGAAAGGTTTTCAACGAAACCTGACAACCAATAAAACCCAGCTACTTTCATATTTCACTGCAACCTGAAACTCAAACCAGATTTCTAGAAAGGTTCCCCAAGGTATGTGGTTCCAGGGCCAGCTGGCCAATCCATTTATAGTACACAACTTTGTTAGACAAAGTGAGGGGCAGTTATAGCCTGGCCCTATAAGGCTGTGCAGGGGCACAAGACAGAGTAAGACAACCCCATGGCCTTTTTCCCCACACACATACAGTGCTGTGTGGCCTTCCTAGACTTTAAAACGAGGCATAGTGTAGGGAAGCAAGTCATATTGGGCCACGGCCCCTCACCCTTCTGCAAGTGAACTAGGCCAGGGAGAGGTGAGAAATAGAGTCTCAGCTTCATCCTTCAAGATCCTCCTTCTATTCAGTGTAGGGTGTAGTAATCTGCTACTGGTAAAGGCCAAAAGAAGTTTATTTCTACCCCAAAAGCAAGCAGGGAGGAAAGAATTGTGCCTCTTTAGTGTCTCCTAGAGTGACATAGGTGGGCACTCCCTTACTCAGGGCTATGCCTAAAGTCACAATCTACCCTTTGGCCCATTTTTCTGTCCGTTGCAAATTATCCAAAACCAACTTTCCCCCCACTATTTCCCCCACCTTATTTAGTCATTATTTTCAATTGCTTGTTAAACACTTCATGTGACCAGTTCAGCCTATGGATTGCTCACAAACTGCTCGTTGTGACTATTCATTCACTGTTGGCAGAATTGCACAGTTTGAATAGCAAAGGCAGATGAGACTGTTTCTGGTTCCTGCTTGGATGACCATAATTATCATAGTTTTATGTTGCTATTGCTCATGCGAGTATGTATTGGTGAACATGCAGAATCTCAGGCGAACAAGTCTATCTGTATGACATCAATTGCCCGAACATTCGTATGAACAAAACGTGCCTATCTGAATACTCACAACAGCAAATAGACGAGGGCCACATGGATCACATTCACTAGTTTTATTAATGCAAATACTCAAAGATGCTGACCCCACTCCCTCCAGTATTCACCCAGCTCTATTTTGGACACTTTGTTCATTCAAACATCAAAGCAAAATCTGGGAGTCTGAGCCCATGCAACTGAAAGCAAAGGAACTGTTTACAAGAAATGAACCTGCTCCGAAATGAAGCTGCTGAGTTTTGCACAGCTCTAATGCAGTCAGTTCCTGTCTTTTCAGCCCAGTTACTCTCCCACTGCCTGTTACTTTGGAGGTACATCAAACAGCT